GCGCATACGCAGCGAGGGTATATACTATAGTTACCCTCGGCGCGCATGCGCAGCGAGGGTACTGTAGTTGGGTCTGTCTGTTTGTCTGTCTGTTAGTCTATATCTCACTCCTCGAACGATACCATCTACCCAACGGGCGACGAAGGTCAGAAAATAAAGGCGGTTTTCTCTGAAAATGCTCCGTTGCAAAGCTAGAGCGCGAAAAAGCCAATATGCAAATACACAACGGACGGGATGGCTTACCACGGTCTGATCGATCCGCGTGCTCTGCGTACTTCGGAGGCACCAGAAGATGCAACGCAGGGCGTGTATCGCCTCTCGCATGCTATCTAGTAGTGTAGTTAGCCCGCGTCAGACTCTGCGTGAGCTGGCAAGAGACCACGAGTAACAGCTAAAATTAAACCCAGGCCATCAATTAGTGGTACGGCGCATGCGTTTATTTACGCGTGCGCGTCACAGTGCGCCGAGGGTTTGCACTTCAGTGCTTTTCATTTGGGCACCAAGTTATGGAACTAATAGGGAACATGGAACAGTAGGTGTGTGTATGTTCTATGTATTCTCTGGGGACTTGCAATCCTGCAACTTTCCTGCTCTGATGACAATGCTTTAATAAACGTGAAACCTTATCAGTCAATAACTAGGAATGTGCACGCGCATATTTTGCCTCGCGCCTGCCAGCCAATGCGTGAACAGTCCGACTGAGGCCGCTCTTGCGCGCGCTCTACTGACTGCGCGCGAAGCCAGACTTCCTACGAATCTGCGCGCACGGCGGAAATTGACGTTCCTAAGCGTGACTAATTGGCATTCACTAAGCGTGACTAATTTACATTCCCCAAGCGTGACTAATTGACATTCTTAAGCGTGACCGACACGTACGCATATTGCGAGAATACAACCCGGAGTAGTTGCCTCATGCTAATGCGCTCGGCAATAAGTAAAGTATTTTTGGCGAGGGAGGCGAGCAGTTTAATATTTCGCATGTGTATAAACAGTTACACAACAGTTTCCAAGGCTCAGGTGAACCCGAATAGACATTAGCTAGTATCACTTAATAGTTTCTCCAAAGTGATATTATAGTTTGATATTCTAAACTAATATTTTAAGGGTTGGATTGGTGGTGTTAGGTATGGCTGGTCTCGTCTCTCTCCTGCAGCAAAGTCTGATGTCTACCATCGTCAACCTGGCCCAGAACTTCATCGGCAGCAACAACATCAACCTCCTCCAGCCCCGAGGACAGTTTGGGACTCGTCTTCACGGCGGCAAGGATGCTGCTAGCCCCAGGTATGTACATATTCAGTGGTGTATCTTACTGCTTATGCATACTGTTTGTACGTACATATATCCATATGCCTTTTGCAGTTTTATGGCATTGTGGTCTCTAGCTTCGTAGATGTATTTGGGAAGTGGTTAGCTATGCATGTACGTTAACATCCTCCTGCTGACTCTGCTTCAAGGGTAATATCAGGCCTTCATTTCCAATTTATTGATCCAGGGGCGGGTGGCAAAATTAATACAGCAGGAATGCAATTAGTACCCGAGGGCGCAGGGACCTCACTAATCCGAACACTTTGGGACCAAGATGGTCTCAGATCGTGATCAGTCGTGAAGCATTGACATATATACAACTCATACACAGACTGTATATTGTACAAAAGTTTGAGCTATGTACATATCACTCACCCTTGTGTAAAATCGTTGCCTTTTAAAAGCGATTTTTCACAGCACTACATTTGCACAGCGTAATTCCCATGCTACTGTGCATGCACATGTGCGTACATATTTGGGCGTTAAATAGAATAATAAAGCGTGCACAACTTTTGGATTACTGAAGCGTTCTGACTAGCGGGTTTCAAATGAGTGAGGTCCTACGGTTATTTGTATGAGAAGGAGGGGATGCAAAGCCCTTGGTCCTTGTGCATTCAAAATCCCAAAGGGAGGTTAATGCCCTACCCCGCCTCCCCATAAATGGTCATCCTCCTCCTCTCCTCTGTCAGGTATATATTCACCATGTTGAGTCCCCTGGCTCGACTCCTGTTCCCAGTCACTGATGATCCACAACTCAACACCCTCAAAGAAGACAACCTCAAGTAGGCATACTGATAGATGATGTGTATCTGTACAGACAATACATGAACGACTCAGTGTGCGATACAACCATATATTCCCATTGTAAATTTCTGCCTAATTAAAATTCAACTCGTTTTTCGATAAACGTTGCAAACTGCCACAGCAACTGAGTCACGTAGATGATTAATCCACGCAGAGCCGTGCCCACATGAGTAACTGGCAGAATTATAAACTAACAGGTTGTGTGTTTGTTAAGCGTTCCTAGTTTAGAAAAAGAGCTCGTTTTATTGGTGTACACCTTGATTACTTAACCCTATAAGTCTCATAGTCCAGCGAGTTACTTTCACTCCCTCTCCAATATTTCACAGGATAGAGCCAGAGTGGTACTGCCCCATCATACCCATGGTCCTGTGCAATGGCTGCGATGGCATCGGTACCGGTTACTCCACCTTTGTACCCAACTACAACCCTCGGGAAATCGTAGATAACCTTCGCAGACTCATGAATGGACTGGAGCCAATGGAAATGGTGTGACTATTGACGAAATGATAAGAATATGAATTGATATAATCAGTATCCCTGTGTATTTTATGAGTAGTAACCCTCAGTCAAATGCGATGTGTACAGTAAGAGTCTGCACTTGCAAGTACAGTTGCATGTATGGCAAAATATTTTTGGGGTGTGTTTGCCCATGCAGCTTGATCATGCAGCCCAATTAAGGGAATTTTTCAACTTTGGTAGCTGTTGATACGTTTTCATCTTTTCCGTAAGCCACACCCTCCTCATGGCCTAAAATTGGTGTTGAAAGTGTTTGGTTTGTAAGAAATGGCTAACATTTGAATCGATCAATATCCCATAGCTGGTAGCTTTACATTGAATCACTAAGTGAGCTGTATACATGTATGTGCATGTTTTGTTGGTGTCATTTTGTTGGTGTGCCTCGATTGTACATAAGCCCCTAAGTCTCATAGTCCAGCGTGTCACTTTCATTTGCTTTGCCTTTGCCTTGATACCTCGTTGTTGTCACATGTATTCTCACGTGTGTGTGTACAGCAACCGTGGTACAAGAACTTCGCCGGGACCATTGCCCACGTTGAACCCCAGAGGTACGTAGCCTACGGCAGTGTTGGTCGCCTCAGCCCCACCTCTGTGGAGATCACGGAGCTGCCCATCCGAACGTGGATCCAGACCTACAAGGAGAATGTTCTAGAACCAATGCTCCACGGGACAGAGAAGACCCCGTCCTTCATCACGTGAGTCTCTTGAGGCCTGGAGGAAGATTAGTTTGAGTTTCAAAGACCGTGGGAGAGCTTGGTGCTCTAATAATTGTGGAAGATTTTAATCTCAATGCTCTCTGGTTAAGTTAGTGTATAATGTGCTTATAGAATGTGGAGAGTTGCGGAGAGCTCCAGTCAAATTTTTAGGTCTTTTTAAATGCATTTGTCGTCTTATTGTGCAGCTAAACATGTTTGTATACAATTTGCTACCTACATACATATGTAGATGAATCTGAAATACACTGTGTACATACACCAGGGATCTATATAACTGTTTGCGTGCTTGAGTTTTACAGCTGCATGCAGGCGTGGGTGGGGAGGGGTGCACGTGATCTAAAACCTGTGTTGTTATGTTAAGGTTTAACTCTTCCCGCTGTCTCCCTCCAGTGACTACAAGGAGTACCACACTGACACTACCGTCAGGTTCGTGGTCTACATGACGGCAGATAAGGTGGCCGAGTGCGAGCGCATCGGCTTCCACAAGAAGTTCAAGTTGGAGACCTACCTCAACACCTCCAACCTGGTATATACCTGCACAGAGCACTCACCCAAGCTGCTGTAACGAGAGATGTGTTGTATCACCAGTGTAGTACGTATCTGTTGTATACAGACGCATGCGTGAGGGTCACATGTGTATATGTGGGCCCTCGTGTGATTTTGTAGTCGCCATTGCTGATCAACCTAATACACCTCTTGGCCAAGCTGCAAGCGCCCGATAGACTTCCACGAGCCCAAGGAGCTCGTCACATGGTGTCAGAGGTGGGATCGCGAAGCCCAAGGCCCTGAGGGAACACGATCGGACCGGATCACAGATGGCGACCGGGAACTATACACTACCGCCCCCAACACCCCTCGAAATTCATAGCGATCAGGCAGGGGAGAAGTGGAAGCGCTTCAGACGAGCTTGGGACAGCTACTCGCTCGCCACCGGATTGAGCGACCGAGCAGAGAACGTCCAGGTAGCGACACTACTGACCATCATCGGAGAGGAAGCGCGCGAGGTGTACTCAACCTTCACAGGATGGGAGAACGAGGGAGACGATAAGAAAATAGCGCCCGTCCTTCAGCAGTTCGAGCGGTACTGCGAGCCACGGATAAACATTCCCTTTGAGCGGTACCGGTTCAACCGCCGCTCGCAAGAGCCGGGAGAAACGTATGACCAGTACCGCACCGCCCTCCGCAAGCTCGCTGAGAACTGCGATTTTGGATCCATAACCCCCGACGAGCTGCTGCGAGACCGCCTGGTGTTTGGTATAAGAGATGCCAGGACCAGGGAGCGACTGTTGCGGGAACCGGCACTCACACTCAAGCGGACCGATGAGCTATGCCATGCGGCTGAAAGTATGGTATCTCAATTGAAGCTTGTGGAGGAGGGCCAGAACAGTGGTGTGAATGCTCTAGCACCTGTGACATCGACCAAGAACGCACAAGACCGAACGCAAGACTGCCCCAACTGCGGCCGACAGCATGACAACCGGCGACGCGAGCTGTGCCCAGCATTTGGGAAGACCTGTCGGAAGTGGCAAAAACGAAACCACTTCGCCATCAAGTGCCGAAGCCAAAGGGGAAACTCCAGAGTACGCGCTGTGGACGAACGCGAGGAGCAGGAGGAGGACGAAGATAGCGAGGCCTTCCCCCTTCAACTACAAGTGCACAGCTTGGACGACTCTCAGCTCGTGACACTGCTCATGGAGTCAGGCAGCTATGTACGGTTCCAGGTCGACACGGGAGCTCAGTGCAATGTTTTGCCACTGGACACATACAAGAAAGCAACAGGGGATGTTAGTCTCGAACGAGTCATGCCAACGAACACCCGAGTCACCGCCTACGGAGGAGTAGCTCTGCCTGTTGCTGGGACCGTTGTGCTGAAAGTCTGGAGAGAAGGCTCCAAATACCGGCTAGATTGTAAACTGGTTGACTCCCCCAAAACCCGACCACTCCTTGGGCGCAAGGCATGTCTCGGCATGAAGATCATCACGTACCTCGACAATGACGAGATTCGCAAGCCAGTCACAGGGGGTGCCCCTGTGTATGCCCTGGAAACTGGCGGGCCGGTGACCATTGAGCAACTCGTGAAGGAGCATCCCGCCGTTTTCGAGCCTGGAGTGGGACACCTCGAGGGTAAATACCACATTGTACTAGATGAACGTGTGCCTCCCGTGCAGCACCCTCCACGTCGTGTGCCAGTTCCGTTGCGACAGACACTAAAGGACACACTAGATGACCTCGTGCAGCAAGATATCCTGGCGCCCGTGCAACAACCGACACCGTGGATAAGCTCTATGGTGGTGGTGCCAAAAAAAGATGGGAAGACCCGCATATGCCTCGATCCACAAGACCTCAACAAGGCTATTCGGCGTGAGCACTATCCACTACCCACGATTGAAGATGTTGCAACGCGTTTGCATGGGGCCAAGGTGTTCAGCGTACTGGACGTCCGCAAAGGCTTCTGGCACGTGGAGCTGGAGGAAGACTCGTCATTTCTTACCACATTCAACACGCCATTCGGAAGGTACAGATGGAAACGCATGCCATTCGGCATCTGCTCGGCCCCGGAAGTGTTCCAGCGACGTATACACGAACTCATTGAGGGCCTTCAGGGGGTGGAAGTCGTTGCAGACGACTTTGTCGTGGTTGGGTGTGGAGACACACTGCAGGATGCAGTCAACGACCATGACCAGCACCTGAGAGCATTCCTACAGAGATGCACGGCCAAGGGTCTCAAGCTGAACAGCAACAAAGTGAGGCTGCGAATGCAGGAAGTGCCATTCATTGGTCACGTGGCAACCGATAAGGGCCTCCGTGCAGATCCTGCCAAAATACAGGCCATCACCAATATGCCACGACCTGTTGATGTAGCCGGAGTGCAGCGCCTGCTGGGCATGGCCCAATACCTGGCAAAGTTCCTCCCTCACCTGTCAGACCTCACCAAGCCACTGAGGGACCTGACACACAAAGAGGTGGAGTGGGTGTGGGACCAGCCACAAGAGCATGCATTCAACAAACTGCTGGAAGCCATCACGAACACACCCGTTCTGCGGTACTACAACCTTGCAGAGGAGGTCACGATCCAGTGTGATGCATCCCAGACTGGATTAGGAGCGGCCCTAATGCAGAGTGGCCAACCAGTGGCGTATGCTTCTCGTGCCCTGACGGACACAGAGATCAGGTATGCACAAATTGAGAAAGAGCTATTGGCCATCGTTTTTGCATGCAATCGATTTGATGCTTACATTTATGGCAGGGAGATGATCAATGTCGAGTCAGATCACCAGCCACTGGAGACCATCGTGAGGAAGCCCCTCAACGATGCACCCAAACGTCTGCAACGCATGCTCATGCAGCTACAGAAATACTCCCTCAATGTGCGATACAAGAGGGGTAAGCTAATGTATTTGGCGGACACACTCAGTCGAGCATACCTACGAGGGGAACAGTCGGTGGCGGAAGTGAAAGAGCTCGAGTCTGTGAGCCACACGGAGTCGTTGGCCCTTGCCCCAGACGACCTGCAGCATCTGCAGCGTGCAGCAGCACAAGATATGGCCATGCAGGAGCTTCGCCATGTAATCCTCCAAGGCTGGCCTGGGCACAGAGCAGAGGTGCCAGATGCAGCCCGTCCGTACTTCGATTTTCGAGATCAGATGACCGTACAAGATCGACTCGTTTTCAAGGGTCCGGTGGTTGTAATACCAGCAGCGTTGCGGTCAGAGATGATGGCTAAATGCCATGCCACACACATTGGTATCGAGGGGTGTCTCCGAAGGGCTCGGGAGTCAATGTACTGGCCACGAATGTCATCCGATTTGAAAGACTACATCTCGAAGTGTGATGTCTGTCTGGCTCACCAAAACAGCCCGGCAAAGGAAACACTCATGCAGCATGAGATCATAGCCCGACCATGGGCTAAGGTGGGTGCTGACCTCTGTGACTTGAATGGCAGAACGCTGCTGGTTGTCTGCGACTACTTCAGTGGCTTCTTAGAAGTAGAACGGCTGCACTCTACGACGACCGTCGCAGTCAGCAAAGTCTTGAAAATCCTGTTTGCCAGATATGGGGTCCCAGACGTTCTCGTGACCGATAATGGGCCACAGTTTGCCTCCGCTGAGTTTGTGTCCTTCGCCAGCAAATGGGGTTTCCGACATGTCACGTCCTCCCCACACTACCCCCAGTCTAACGGTAGGGCAGAGAATGCCGTCAAAACCATAAAGCGTCTGTTCAAAAAATGCAAAGAAACGGGACAGTCAGAGTATCAGGCCCTGCTAGATTGGCGGAACACGCCAACAGAGAGCTTGGGATCAAGCCCTGCCCAGCGTTTCTTTGGTAGGCGGTGCCGGACACTGCTGCCTATGACGGAGACATTTCTGAAACCGGCATACGACACCACGGCCGATGCCAGAGCACTGAAAGGGAAAAGAGCAAAGCAAGCACACTACTACAATCGCAAGGCACGTGACTTGCCTCCGATATCGGTTGGAGAAACAGTGAGACTGCGGCTCCCTGGGGAAAAGCGTTGGACTGCAGGAAGATGCACCGGCTTCCAAGGCCCCCGCAGCTATCTAGTCCGAGTGGGGGAGACAGAGTATCGTCGAAATAGGCGGCATCTTATTAGAAGGGATGAACCACAGGTGCCAGAACTGGAGCTGCCGCGACAAGAGGGTCAGCCAACCCCCCAGACCAATGGAAATGCGCCAGAGCCAGAGCCTGTAGTCGAGCCAGAACCGGAGACTGACGAAGATCCCCAAAACCCCGACGTCGAAAGTCCCCAGCCTCAACTCCACCGATCAACAAGGGCACGAAGGCCCCCGGACTGGATCACACCGTATGTGCGTTCATGAAACATACATGTGTGACATACTAGTGTGTATGCTTTGTTATAAGAAAGGAGATGTAACGAGAGATGTGTTGTATCACCAGTGTAGTACGTATCTGTTGTGTTATATCACTATATATACAGACGCATGCGTGAGGGTCACGTGTGTATATGTGGGCCCTCGTGTGATTTTGTAGTCGCCATTGCTGATCAACCTAATACACCTCTTGGCCAAGCTGCAAGCGCCCGATAGACTTCCACGAGCCCAAGGAGCTCGTCACAGGAACAAGACGCTTTTTTTTACGTGTGAGACTCCGAGGAGACAGCCCCCGCCCCCGTCAAAAATCGTTTACGTCATCATAAAACGCCCTCATTGGTGGTGCGCATTTGAAAGGGTTAGCAACGCACGGCAACGGCCGGCCCAATGTGTTTGTGTATCGGCAGAGCTGAAGAAGCCGACGCTTTTTTCGTGGAATATTGACGTGATTTCTGACTTTCGCGAGCTCCGGAGACTGTCCACAGACTTCTTGCAGGTGCACTACGCATTTTAAAAGAGCTACTTTGCCAGTCGCGCCTTCTACGCTTACATATACCGAACGCGGAATCGGCCGGTTTGCGCAGATAACGACTTTTGAGAATAGCCATTTTGTACGGGGAGTTTGCTGTAGACCACCTGCAAACGCTATTAGACACCTGAAACGAGGTGTCTATGAAAA